TTTTTGTTTATTGTTGTAGTTTAAGTGAAAGTTTACATCTCTAGTCTCTTACACAAAAATTTATACATACATTGTTATGTGACCCTAATTGCTCTTCCTGTACTGTGACAGCAGACTCCTCCTTTCCACCTCGGATTTCCCGTGTCCATTCAACCAGCTCCTGACCCTCTCTGCCCTCCCATCTCTCCTCCGGACAGGAGCTGCCCACTTAGTCTCATGTATCTACTCGAGCTAAAAAGCACACTCTTCACGAGTATCACTTTATGTCCCACAGTCCAGTCCAATCTTTGTCTGAAGAGTTGGCCTAGGAAATTGTTTTAGTTCTGGACTGACAGTCTGGGGGCTATGCTTTCCAGGGTTCCTCCAGTCTTAGTCAGACCATTAAGTCTGGTCTTTTTACTAGAATTTGAGTTCTGCACCCCACCTTTCTCCTGCTCCATCAGGGACTCTCTGTTGTGTAGAACCCTCTTTTTGTATTAACCCACCTTGAGAAATAATTTTTTCTTGTTCTAAGACATTTTTAGAGACCCTGTTTACAAGTTATCAACAATCTATTGAATGATAAAGCTTACCTGAACCAAAAATATAATAAGAAAATAAAAGTTTGCCACTCTTCTGAATTGCTCAAATAAATTTTTTGGAACAAAATTCCATACAGTATACTAAAAAAAAAAAAGGGAGGGAGGGAAGAGATCAATAAATTAATATGTAAATACATACCATATCGACATAACAACAACAAATGTAAAATCCGATTTACTAAATCCTCAGACAAACTTCATGTAACTCCTGACATTACAGAAACCATTGATCTGGTGGTTTCTGGACTCTCAGTACTTCTGTTCCACTCTCTTTTCTTCCTTTGACTATTAATTGGCAACTGTGGTATTTTTTTATCTCAATATTTGTATTCTTTGACTTTAAACTTTCCATTTTTAAAATAGTTTATATGTCTTTGTTGAGATGATCAGTTCATTCACTGATATTTTACTTCAATTATTAAAATAGCTCCAACTATGTGTCAAGTAGCAGTGAACGTGCTGGAGGCAGAGTAGTGACTGAAACGACATCCCTGTCCACAGGGATCTTACATTCTATGGGGAGAATGTACATAGGGAAAAATAAAAGTGCTATAAAGTAGATCTCCGAGAAGGAATGACGGCACCAGAAAAGGTAAGTATGTGAATAAATACAAAATACTAGATACATTTTCTTTTTCTCTTAATATCTTTAAAAGGTATAAAAGCAAATATTATAATAGTGTACTGATGGGTATATAACAAATAAAGATATGATACACGTGACAATAACAGCACTGTTTGGGGGGCTACATGGAAATGGAAATGTACCACAGTAACGTTGCTATATTTCATCTGAAGTAATTCAGTATTAACTCTAAGGACAACGATAGAAGTTTAGAATGCAAACTATAATCCCTGGAGTAACCACTAAAATATAACGCAAAGACAGAGCTGAAAGCTAACACAGAAATTAATATGGGATGCTAAAAAATTTTGAGTAGCAGAAAAAAAGGCAGGAAGGAAGGAAAAGTGGAACACCAACAAAAGACAAAGAACAGCAGACTTAATTATGTCAATAATTACATTAAATATAACTAACTTAAAAATTCAAACAAAGGCGGAAATGGTCAGGTTGGATAAAAAAAAGCAAGAACCAATGATACACTGTCTGCAAAAAACAAAAATACAAATAGACTGAAAGTAAAAGACTGGAAAAAAATATACCACCCGAACAGTAACTACAGGGAAGCAGAAATGGCTATACCAGTATGATATTAAAAAAGACTTTTAAACTACGGAGAATTCCAAGAGACAATGAATGACATTTCAAAATGAGAAAAGGTACAATGCATCAGGAACCACAGCATACACATACACGTATGTATGTCTAATAACAGTGCTCAAAATGCATGAATGAAAAAAGTTACAGAACTAAAGGGAGAAACAGACAAATCCACAATTAGAATCAGAGATTTTCACAAACTTAACTCGGAAATATGTGGAACAAAAAACAAAAAAATCAGAAAGAATATGGAAGATCTGAATGATATCATTAACACCTTAACATAATTGATGTTTATAGAACGTATACTCCAAAATGAAGGATACACATTATTTTTAATGCACATGAAATTTTCATCAAGACAGCAATATGCTTTAAAACAAGAGCACATTCCCGACCACAATGAAATTAAATTGGAAATCAATAAAAATAAAACGTCTCTAAAAGCATTAAATGTCTGGAAATTAAACAACTTACAGCAAAACAGCCCATAGGTCAAAGAAGAAATCACAAAGGAAATTATAAAATACAGACACAGATTTATTAAAAAAAAAAATTTCTGTCTGCCATGGGCATTATGCTCTTTTAATAACTATATAGGATCAAAGCAACAACAACCATTTGGAAGATTAGCCAGGACCCTTAGGGGGCAGAGAGTTTATGTTCACGCTGAGGAACAACGCAGGAAAGGAGGGTGAGAACAGCTGTACAACTCGAAGAATGAAATCAACGTCAATGACCTGTACATGTGGAAACCGTTGGACTGCTATGTTCTGCTGTGTATATACTAAATAACAACCACAAAATAAGCTAAATTAAAGAAAATGTTTTGAAATGAACGATGACAAAAACACCGCACAGCAAAATTTACAGGATGCAAATAAACAGCAGGGCTCAGTAGAAAATTTACAGCTTTAAAGGCTTATATTAGAAAAAATAAAATGTCTTCGATCAATGATTTAAGCTTCCACCATAAAAAACTGTATAAAGAAGAGCAAACTACGCTCAAAGTAAGTAGAATAAAAGGAAATAACAGTAAGAATAAAAATAGAAAACAAAAAACAATAGAGAATTAATCATACCAAAAGCTGCTTTGTTGAAGAGAGCAATAATATCGATAAATTGCTAGCCAGACTAACCAGGAAGAGGAGAACACATAAATTATCAATAAAAGGAACGAAAGCAGGATGTCACTAAATACTCTAGAGTGTGTAAGGATAAGAAGAAAATTTTATAAAAATCTTTAAGCCAATGAGTTCAACAACTGAGATGAAAAAGAAAAATTCCCTGAAAGGCACAAAGTAGCACAAAGTACCAAAGAAAAAAATAACCACTCCAGAAAAAATAACCTTAATCCCTTACATATGGGAAAGGAAGTGAATTTGTAGTTCAAAACTTTTCCATAAAGAAAATTCCAGGCTTAGCTGGCTTCACTGGTGAATTCCACCAAACATTTAAGGAAGAAATAATGCCAAATCTACACAAACTCTTCCAGAAAACAGAAGAGAGAACATTTCCCAAATAATTTTATTGCTTTGATATAAAAACAAGGACATTACAAGGGAACAAAACTAAAAACCAGCATTTCTCATGAACACAGGCACAAAAGTCCTTAACAAAATATTAGCAAAACAAATCCAGCACTATATAAACATGGCAATATATCATGATACAGGGAGGTTTATTCCAAGAATGAAAGGCTGGTTTAACAATGTAAAAAAAAAAAAAAAAATCAATGAACGTAATTAACCATATCAACAGACTAAAAAAGTAAAAACATCCCTTCAACTGAAACAGAAAAAAGTATCTGACAAAATTCCACAACCATTCCTGATAAAAATGTTAAACAAATTAGAAAAAGAGAAGGAACTTCTCTAACTTAATAAAAAGCATGTATAGAAAACCTACAGCTGACATCATACTGGTGAAAGACTAAATGTTTTCCCCCAATATTGGGAACACGGCAAGGATGTCCACTCCCACCACTCCTGCTCAACATTTATTTCAGATTCTAGCCAGTGCAGCAAGCCAAGAAAAAGAAATAAACGGTTTAGAGGCCGAAAAAGAGGTAGTAGAACGGTCTTTGTGTGCAGGTAACATGACTGGGTATGCAAAAATCCTAAGGAATCTACAAAAAAGCTATTAGAACTAATAAGTCAGCTTAGCAAGAACTCAGGAATCAAGGTCAATATAAAAAAAGCAATTACATTTCTACTAGAAATATCCTATAAAATAGAAACTTAAGTTTTAATAAGACCATTTACAACAGCATCAAAAATAAATTTAACAAAATGTGTGTAAGACCATACACTGAAAACTATAAAACACTGCTGAGAGAAAGTAAAGTGGACTTAAATAAACGGAAAGACACGCCACGATGTTGTGGATGGGAAGATTAATCACTGCTAGAATGTTAATTCTTCCCAAACTGATATACAGAATCCATGAAATCCCAAATAAAATCCCAGCTAGCTTTTTATGTAAAAATTGATAAGCAAAATTCTAAAATATATACTAAATGCAAAGGGCCTGGATATGAAATACAATTTTGAAAAAAAAGAAAGTGGGAGGATTTAGACTACCTGATTTCAAGAGTTATTATAAAACTACGGTAATCAAGAAAGCTGGCACAAGGACAGACACATAGATCAGTGGATCTGAAGAATACAACGTCTGAAAATAGATCCATACATACCCAGTCAATTCATTTCCAACAGAAGTGCCAAAGTAATTAAATGGGGAAAGAATAGTCTTTTTGGGAAGTGGTGCTAGAAAACTTGGATGGCCACATGCAAAAACCTGAACCTAGATCCAAACCTTACACCATAAACAAAAATTAACTCAATGTGAATCATAGTCCTACATATAAGAGCTGACACTATAGTTTCTTAAAAAATTAAAAAAAAAACCCATTTCTGTCAAGTCAGTTCTGACTCACTGCGACCCTATAGGACAGAGTAGAACTGCCCCATAGCATTTCCAAGAAGTGGCTGGTGAATTTGAACTGCTGACCTTTTGGTTAGCAGTCGAGCTCTTAACCGCTGTGTCACCAGAGCTCCAAAAAAAAAAAAAACAAAGGATGGGTGAAAATCTTTCTGACTCAGGAGAGACAAAGATTTATTAGACAGGAAACAAAAAGGATGAGTGAGCCACCAAAAGAAAAAAAAAAAGATCAACTACTCCATAAAAATTTTTTGAAATTTGCCCTTCAAAAGATACTCTTAAGAAAATGAAAAGGTGAAGTCTCTGGGCAGAAAACATATTTGCAAAACGTATATCTAACAAAAGGAATTACGTCCAGAATATAGTAAAGGACATTTACACCTCAATAAAAAGACAAATCACTCAATCAAAAAAACAGGTAAAATACGTGAAAAAATACTTTAGCAGAGAAGATACATGAAGGAACCAATGAAGAGAAACTTAACGTCATTAAATCATCAGGAAAATTAAAATTAAAACCACAATAAGACACAACTACTATACCCACCAGAGGTAAAAACGGGAGACTCGGAAAACCAAGTGCCGTCCAGGGTGTGGAGGAATGGCGACTCTCACACATGGCTGGCGGAAGTGCAAAATGCTCTGGAAACCAGTCTGGCTGTTTCTTACGAAGTTCATAAAACACTTAACATGTAACTCAGCAATCCCACCCCCTGGTTTCTATCCAAGAGAAAGTTAAGACGTATGTTCACACAAACAGCTGCTTTATTCATTAAAGCCCCAAACTACAAGCACACTAAATGTCCATCAACTGGTGAATGGATGAACAAGCTGTGGTAAAATCAAACAACGACCATACAACAGCTATCAATAAAAAGGACTGAACTAGTGATACTGGTACTTCCAACAACAACGGTGAATCTTAACAGCATTAAGTAAAAGAAGTCGGACACAGGAGACTCATACTGGGTAACTCCAGTTACATGAGACTTTAGAAAAGACAAGACTGTGGTTGCGGGAAGCAGATCAGTGGTTGTTGGTCTGGGGGTGGGGGTGGGGAAACGGGCGGCAAACGGCGTGAGAGGAATCTTTGGAGTGATGGGTAGATTCTACACCTTGATTGTGGCGGTGGTCACATGATGCTACACATCTGTCAAAACTCATTAAATTGTACACTTGAAGTTGGTGAATTTTATTATATGTAAATTATACCCCAAGTTAAAGAAAAAAAGGAAACTTATAATTTTTAAGAAAGACTTTCATTTCTTGCAGAATTTACTAAAAACTGTGTCACTAATCTAGAACTCTCCCATCATTCTAGATTCTGATCATTTCCTCTTCCTACCCTTTGTTTTAGAACCATTGTCCATGAAGACAGATGTCACTAATGGGTATGGAGCGTATATAAAATGTGAAGGCAGGGGAAAAAAAGGTGGGGCGGGGGGCAGGGCAAAGAAATCACTGGTCCAAAACAACATCCTTAGCAAAGATAAGATCAGCATCACAGAGAACATTTGAGTTGTTCTGGAAGGGAGACAAGGAGCAAACCAAAGATGCTTCCTCAAGGGCCAAGCAACAGCTACGAGCTAAGGAGAACTTCGCCTTCAGCCTCTGACTCCGACATTCTCTGTAACCACACCGTCCAGTAACGGGGCCACGAGTCATGTGGGGCTACCGACACTGAATGCAAAGTAAAGGTAAAATTCAGTGAAAAGCTCGGCTCCTCACTCACATTAGCCGCATTTCAAGGGCTCTGCAGCTATCCCACTGCACAGTGCAGAAAACATTTCCATCTTAAAAGTTTATCAAATAGTGCTACTCTATAATCTTTAGTTTTAAAATAAATTACATCTTAAAAACGCCACAGAAGAAACGGAACAAGGAAGAATATGTAAAGATGAGACAGTACGCTTGGGTACCCGAAAATGCTTATAGAAGAGTGATAAAGTTGGAGGAGTATGGGCTTTGAAATCAGAAAAAACTGAGTTCAAACTCCAACCTAGCCACTCACTGCTATGTAACTGTGGTAAGTTACTTAATTTCCCAGCACTTCGACTCTTGAGGAAACAGATCTGAGTATAACAGCACTTTGTAAAATGGATTTAATGACAGCTTACTGGGCTGTTACGAGGATTAAATGATATACGTACCTAACCTAGTGCCTGGCCCATGGTATTAGTTCCTCAGTTTAAGTGCAAATAATGATAATTTTTGGCATATTGGGTACTTGATATCAGCAAATGGCAATTACTTTCATTTTACAGTTCACAATTTCGGTTAAGCTAAATTTATCAAACACCGCTTTCTTGAATTTTAAAAAGATATAAATGCATATTAGAAGACACACAATAAATTACCTTTCAAAATAAAATGGCATATATTTATAGTTTTAACAGCAAATGTTAATGCTTACCTTAGAGGAAATGATCCTATTATCTATAAACTTCTGAGGTGTGTAAAGGCCATTCTGAGGAAACCTGTTGGCTATGTAAATAGTCCTTGTATCACTCTGATGTGGTGGGTCAAACCCCTACGACCAAATGAAAAAAAAAAGAAATACTGGTCAACAAGGTTAGTTGTTATGATTCTTTACTGTTGCTCTTTCTTAATTGATCATATTGCATATATAACTGTTATTGTGGCTGTTAAGAGCCACTGAGTCAGTTCCAACTCATACCAACCCTATGTACAATAGAATGATACACTGCCCAGTCCTGAGCCATACTCATGATCACTGATACACTTGAGCTTACTGTTGCAGCCACTGTGTCAATTCATCTCACTGAGGGTCTTCCTCTTTTTCACTGACTCTCTCCTTTATCAAGCATGATGTCCTTCTCCAGCGACTGATCCCTCCTGATAACATGTCCAAAGTACATGAGACGAAATCTTGCCATCCTCACTTCTAAGGAGCATTCTGCTGTACTTCTTCCACGACAGATTTGTTCGTTCTTCTGGCAGTCCACAGTATATTCTTCACCAACACCGTAATTCAAAGGCATCAATTCTTCTTCGCTCTTCCTTATTCACTTTGAGCTTTTGCATGCATATGAGGCGATTGTGTTGCTTGAGTCGGGAGCACCTTAGTCCTCAAGGTGACATCTTTGCTTTTTAACACTTTAAAGAGGTCTTTTGCAGCACATTTGCCCAATGCAATACATGGTTTCATTTCCTGACTGCTTCTTCCAGGGACGTTGATTGTGGATCCAAGTAAAATGAAATCCTTGACAACTTCAATATTTTCTCCGTTTATCATGATGTTGCTCATCGGTCCAGTTGTGAGAATTTCTGTTTTCTTTCTGTTGAGGTGTAATCCATACTGAAGGCTGCAGTCTTTGATCTTCACCAGTAAGTACTTCAAGTCCTCTTCACTTTCAGCAAGCAAGGTTGTGTCATCCGCATAACGCTGGCTGTTAAAGAGTCTTCCTCCAATCCTGATGTCGAGTTCTTCTTCATGCAGTCCAGCTTCTTGGATTATCTGCTCAGCATACAGAATGAATAAGCAAGGTGAAAGGACACAACTTTGATGCACACCTTTCCTGATCTTAAACCACACAGTATCCCGTTATTCAGTTTGAATGAGTGCCTCTTGATCTATGTACAGGTTCCATATAAGCACAATTAAAGTGTTCTGGAATTCCCATTCTTCACAATGTTATCCATGATTTCTTATGATCCACACAGTCAAACGCCTTTGCCCAGTCAATAAAACACAGGTAAACATCTTCCTGGCATTTTCTGCTTTCAGCCAAGATCCATCTAACATCAACAATGATAGCCGTCATTTCACATCCTTTTCTGAATCTGGCTTGAATTTCTGGCAGTTCCCTGTCCACGTGCTGCTGCAACCGTTTTTGAATCACCTTCAGCCAAGTTTTACTTGTGTGCTACATTAATGATACTGTCCGATAATTTTCACGTTCTGTTGGGTCATCTTTGTCTGGAATGGATGCAAATACGGATCGCTTCCAGTCAGTTGGCCAGGACGCTGTCTTCTAAATTTCTTGGCACAGATGAGTGAACGCTTCCAGCGTTGCATCTTATTGCTGAAACATCTCAACTGGTATTCTGTCAATTCCTGGAGCCTTGTTTTTCACCATTGCCTTTAGCTTGGACTTCCTCCTTCAGTACCATTGGCTCTTGATCATATACTACCTCCTGAAAGGGCTGAACACTGACCAATTCTTTTTGGCACAGTGACTGTGTATTCCTTCCATCTTCCCTGATGGTTTCTGTGTGGTTCAGTATCTCGACCATAGAATCCTTCCATATTGTAACTGGGGGCTTAAATTTTTTTCTTCAGATCTTTCAGCTTGAGAAATACCGAGCGTGTTCTTCCTCTTTGGTTTTTGAACTCCAGCTCTTTGCACATTTCATCATAGTACTTTACTTTGTCTTCTTGAGCTGCTCTTTGAAGATTAGTTGTTATGATTCTTTACTGTTGGTTTTATTTAATTAATCAGCTTGCACATATTACTGGCCTTGAACTATATACACACTCAATCCATTTAATTATTACAAGAGTTAAGCCATTTTTTTTCTTGTACAGATAAACTGATACATTATCATTAGAGACAAACTAACTAGGCAATACCTCTAATAATGAAGAACAGTCCATACTCTGTCAGAAATGCTACTACAAGAAATAAAATCATGCAGGAAGCCTAGAGACGCATTTGAGGACAAGGCTTCTCTCCCCACTACATTCCTTCCCTTTCATTCCTGTGGTTCCTTGTCCTTCTCTTCAGATACATTCCTACTCAGTGATGTGGAAGTCTTGTGCAGTGATGGCCTAGTCAGCACCTACCCTGTCCCGTGATTAAGGTTTATATTTTTACTTCTTCCACACCCAGATAAACTCGGTTTCAAAGAGCTTTGTTCCCAGAGGATTTATAATGCAATGCCTTGATCAGGGTCTTGCTGGGAGTCATTCCACACAATCATTTTATTTGTGCCAGTTACTGTATCAATTGATCCCCTTAGATACCAGAGAAATATCTACATTCCTGGCCTTGAGGAACTCCCTTCTGGTCCCAAATTTAAAAGACCACCTCTCAAAGAACATTTACTTATAACTTCTAGTGGAAACGTTTTTGCCGATAACAGGAACATGAACGCTTCATTCCCACAGCATCTTACCATCTTCCATGGTGGCAAGTGAATCTCCTCCAAGACTCCTTTGTTAGGCCTCAAGAACCACCTACAAGCGGAAAGTGAATCCCCACATGACCCCAAAAAAATTGTTCTTTTTTTCATGGTGGCCAAAGTCTATTTACTAATACTACTAAGTGAGTTACTAAAAGGTCAATTAAACTTGGTATTCATAAACTAATGGGAGCTTGGTGGCAAAGTAGTTAAAGCGCTCGGCAGCTAACCAAAAGGTCAGTGGTTCAAACACTACCAGCCCAGGAGACAGATGTGGCAGTCTGCTCCCATAAAGATTTACAGCCTTGGAAGCACCAGAAAAGAGACTAGATAAATGGGACCTCCTAAAAATCAAAGTTATGCTCATCAAAAGACTTCACCAAAAGAGTAAAAAGACAACCTACAGACCAGGAAAAAATTTTTGGCTACGACAAATCAGATCAGCGTCTAATCTCTAAAATCTACAAGATACTTCAAAACCTCAACAACAAAAGACAACCCAATTAAAAAATGGGCAAAGGATATGAACAGGCACTTCACCAAAGAAGATGTTCAGGCAGCTAACAGACACGTGAAGAAATGCTCACAATCATTAGCCATTAGAGAAATGCAGATCAAAACTACAATGAGATATCATCTCACCCCAACAAGGCCAGCATTAATCCAAAGAACACAAAATAATAAATGCTGAGAGGCTGTGGAGAGATTGGAACACTTATACACTGTTGGCGGGAATGTAAAATGGTATAACCACTTCGGAAATCGATTTGGCGCTTCCTTAAAAAGCTAGAAATAGAAGTACCATATGATCCAGCTATCCCGCTCCTTGGAATATATCCTACAGAAATAAAAGCCATCACAAGAATAGATATATGCACACCCACGTTCACTGCAGCACTGTTCACAATAGCAAAAAGACAGAAACAACCTCGGTGCCCATCAATGCATGAATGGATAAACATATTATGGTATATTCACACAATGGAATACTATGCAACGATAAAGAACAACGATGAAGCCATGTAACATCTTATAACATGGAGGAATCTAGAGGGCATTATGCTGAGTCAATTTTGTCACAGAAGGACAAATATTGTATAAGACCACTATTATAAGAACTCAAGAAAAGGTTTAAACACAGAAGAAAACATTCTTTGATGCTTACAAGGGTTGGGGGGGAGGGGGAGGGTTATTCAGTAACTAGATAGTAGACAAGAATTATCTTGGGTGAATGGAAGGACAGCACACACTACAGGGGAAGTCAACACAACTGGACTAAACCAAAGCTAAGAAGCTTCCTGAATACAACCGAACACTTCGAGGGACAGAGTAGCAGGGGTGGGTCTGGGGATCATGCTTTCAGGGGACACCTAGGTCAACTGGCATAACAAAGTTTATTAAGAAAATGTTCTGCATCCCACTATGGTTGAGTGGCGTCTGGGGTCTTAAAAGTTTGCAAGTGGCCATCTAAGATGCATCGATTGGTCCCAACCACCTGGAGTAAAGGAGAATGAAGAACACCAAAGACACAAGGTAAGTATTAGCTCAAGAGACAGAAAAGGCCACATAAACCAGAGACTTCATCAACCTGAGACCAGAAGAACTAGATGGTGCCCAATTACCACCAGTGACCGCCCTGACAGGGAACACAACCGGGAGTCCCTGATGGAGCAGGAGAAAAGTGGGGTACAGAACTCAAATTCTAGTAAAAAGATCAGACTTGATGGTCTGAGACTGGAGGAACCCCGGAAAGCGTGGTCCCCGGATTCTCTATCAGCCCAGAACTAAAACAATATCCGAGGTTCACTGATCAAAGATTGGACTGGACTGTGGGACATAAATGATACTTGTGAAGAGTGTGCTTCTTAGCTCAAGCAGATACATGAGACTAAACGGGCAGCTTCTATCCAGAAGTGCGATAAGAAGGCAGAGAGGGTCAGGAGCTGACTGCATGGACATGGGAAATCAGGGGTGGAAAGGAGGGGTCTGCTGTCACAGTATAGGAAGAGCAATTAGGGTCACACAACAATGTATGCATAAATTTTTGTATGGGAAACTAACCTGAAATGTAAACTTTCACTTAAACTACAACAATAAACAACAACAAAAAAAGATTTACAGGCTTGGAAACCCTAGGGGGCAGTTCTACTCTGTCCTATAGGGTCGCTATGAGTCAATCAACTCAACGGCAATAGGTTTTTTTAATTCATAAATTACAACGACCCAATTTTAGATATTACTAAGATATGACTCTAATTCAGTAATCGAGTCAGTAGTCTAGTTGCCATTCAATGTGGAGCACCCCTGTAAAATTTCCATTAAGCACAGTCATGCACATAGTCAAAATGCCCATAATTACCTAGAAGGATTGTTTAATACATCAGAATATTAAGTGTCGTCTTAAGCTATGGATGATTTT